GTGTGTGTGTGTGTGTGTGTGTGTGTGTGTGTGTAAATGGATGCCCTTATGTTTTCTTAATCGAAGATCATTTGTCTGGAGCAAAAAATACAAAAGCATTTTTTAAGTATAGATATTAAAATGGATTTGCACGGATTTGCGCCGCAACAAAAAGCTATTAGCTTAACAGAACAAAATCAAGACCTTAAAGAGGCCAAAAGAAATGGCTGTGAAAATGAGCTCACACGTTTTAAGTACTCTCCCTCTTCACCCATTCAATACTCAGAGCAGGAATTGTGATAGCAAATCCTTAACAAATCCACGCCTACACTATTGTTTACAATAGGGATATTGTTTATTGATGAGACAGTAGTGTTTTTGGCCTGAGGATGTAGCCATAGTCTGTCTTTTAGCTTGACTTACTACATTATTTACTGTTTTTTCCTACATAAGTTCTAACTGCTCCTGACCTCCATGTCTAAAATCATTTTTTATTCTCCTAATCAGCTCTAAGCAGCCTAATCCGTGGTATTTCTCATACCACTGCAGATGATTTGCGATCATACTGTAAGTAAAGAATTTTAGGCTCAGCCGGAAATTCTGCAACTGGGAAGCTAGAACTATTATATATTAAGTGACACTCTGTGTGCCTGGGAGTAACAGTGAAGCTCCCACACTAAACAGAATGATAAGTATAATTAAGATGAAGATGCTGTTTGATGTTTCTCGGTGGCTCACACCCACTGTGTCATCTCCTACAGACGCTGTTCTCACTGTTTTGCTTTTGGAAAGTTCTCATTTTACTTCTGTTTATTATATGTCTATTTGGGGACTTTTAGCCCTGATTTTTCTCGCTCCTTTCCATTTCAGGTGGCTCGAAGCCTTATGGCTCCACTGTCGCTGGACATTGCCGGGGACCCAGACAGTGAGCGTGCCCTGGGAAAACAGCGCCTGAGTGTTGCCATCGGCGTCCTGGCGGGAGCGGCGGCCGTCATTCTGGTTATCCTTCTGGTGGTCACGGCTCGACAGTGCGGCACTCAGGGGAAGAACGGTTACGAAGCTGGTAAAAAGGAGCCAGAGGAGGACTTCTTCAGTCCCTCGGGGGCTCAGCCGCAGGCCAGTCGGGGTGGGGGATCAGACCGCGGACGCAAACCTCGGCGGGATAAACGCACCGGAGGCGGCGGTACGATCGGAGGAGGTGGGAAGTCAGACAGATCTCTTTACAGTGGCATTGTCACAGTCAACGGCCTGCGACGCCATGGCAATGACGATGAGGAGGAGGAAGAACTGAGTAGTGCTAGCGAGCGCCTGGCAGCCCGCTACTGTGCCGTGGATGGTGACCCCGGCAGCCCACGGATGGGCGGAGGCAGGAGACACCAGTCTAGCCCCGATCTGGCCAGGCACTACAAATCCAGCTCACCCCTTCCTGCGGTGAATCTACAGCCACACTCTCCCCCAGCGGAGGGCAAGAAGCACCAAGCGGTCCAGGAGCTGCCTCCCTCCAACACCTTTGTGGGCAGCGGCGGGTGCGTGGGGAGTGCCGGCTCCAGCAGCAGCAGTACCGGGGGCAGTGGCAACGCAGACGCCATGTCCTTGGGCTCTGACCAGTGCTCAGATTATAGTTGCCAGACTGGAAACAAGTACAGCAAACAGGTAGGATCACTGAAAATCAACTCAACACATGACATTTTTTGAACTGTTTCATCTTCATCTAAGTGTGTTTTGGGGTCTTTACAGTCTGTGGCTCCATCATGGCATTACTCGCTTCTACTTTGCTGATATGCATCCTGCACACCCTGCTGCTAACACCGTTTTATCTCCACAAAATAGCTGTCTGGGTGTGTGTGCCTGCGTGTCACCATCTTAAGCTGGACTGCCACATCTACTGCAGGGCACACGACAGGCCCATACTGTCACCGAAAGATAGTTGAATGGGGATTTTTGCATATATGCATGATTGTGAGCGTGTGTGAGACCATATGCAGGGACCCCCCGATGAGTTCAGAGCAAAGATTTAGTGTGGGTGGGCAAACACATTCTTCCAACAGGGTAATTGGTCATTTTTGTCTTTGTGTCTTCCTTTCTCAAGCTGTTATCTGTCTTCCAGTTAGCATATATATTCACTTCATAAACAATATCAGCTGCATAGATAATGTAAGCGCTGGCTCTGGCGTTCCATCGGGAGGCTGCGGTTAAAAGCTGACAAATAAACACTGCATAGAGACGGTCACTCACTCCTCTGCCCACACACACAATAATGCACAGACACAGGCCCCATCTATCATCGTAGACACACTGACACAGCAGAGGGTCTCTCTGCTGTCCACGGGGAGTCTTCCCGGAGCGGCGTTTGAATGACAGCCAACCCTGCTTAAAGGGGCGGCGTCTCATTTCCTTGACGGACAGCTCTACATTTATCCAGCTTGTGGTGAAAAAAAATGCTGATGTGGTCATTAAAATGGAAGGAGAAGAGCTTCTTAGGCTAATCAATTCATACATGGGCACTCTGATCCTGCTCAACACACACACTTGCAGGAGCGCGCGTGCGCACATATGCATACGCACACAAAACTCTGGAGATTAATCCATTACGGAGTCAATCCTCTTAATCTGCCATTCCCTGGGAAAGAAACTGCTTACTGGGAGAGTTTGGTGTTCATGCTTACGTGCTCTCAAAACATGCCAGCACACATAGGGAGCCATGCAGACACACAAACTGACAGCTTAATGAATTATTGATCACGTGGGGTAATTAACTCCCCCCGGTGCAGTGGGGTGCACCCCCCCACCCCAACCAAAACGAAAGAAAAACATCCAACAGTCACAGTGTGTGTGTTTGGGGCTCGACATGCTCACGCGCGACTGCGCTCACTTAAATGTCAGAGTTTGTTAATTCGAATAGTTTGGCGACGCAGGCAGGTTTGAGTTGGTGGGCTCCCGTCACTGAGCTTGAGGGACTGCTTATTTTATGGAGGCATATTCATTTTCTACATGAGTGCGGGTGAGAGATAGACTCGGGGAGTAAAAGGTGGCGCGTGTGTGCCAAATGAGGGAAATGGGACGCCAGCAGAAATTGGAGTAGCATTAGATCAGGAGTGGGAGAGATTTATGGAAGTTTGTGAGGGGAAGAAAGATTGAGTCAACGAGAAGTGTGTGTGTGTGTTGTGGGGGGTGGGGGGGTTGTGGATTTCAAAGCTACTTTACTGGGTCAGTGACAACATTAAAAACTCTTCATCTGAAATCAGCACATCATCACACCAACTAGATTATTCTAAACTAGGAAATAAAAAAATGAATTTAAAGCAGGCAAGTCATATAAACTAAAGTTGAAGGTAGCGTCATGGAGGCAACAAGTACTTGTTATGTTTTGAAAACTAAACTGTCCATTGAGGAGGAGGGAAAGGGGGACAGGAAAAAAAGCTGTGTATCAATGAGACTGAATAAATTTTAAAATGAACAAGAGAAGTGGGAGGAATGGTGGATTGAGCAGCGCAAAAAAAATGCTATTGAAATGAGTAATCTTTATCTTTTTAGTAAAAGCTATTCATTTAGTGTAAATTCAACCACTTAACACCTTCAGCTTTTCCTTTTTTGTCTTGTAAAAGAGGAATAATTGATATCTGTATATATTTTATCACACTGTCAGTTTATGCAGATCAATTCACAGTTAATTAAATTATTCACTGTTTGCATATTTATTACAAAATAAAAGTACTTGAAAAACTAAAATAATTAAAGCTTAAGGAATCAGCTTTTACTTTACACCAAAGTGTGGAATAATTTATCCTACTTAAATTATGCTCAACCTAATAACTAATTTTTTTTCCAAATGTACAGTATATCATTAAATTGGTGCATTTTGAGTAAAAAGATAACTGTTTTATCTTAGATTAGACTGAGCATTGTATATATGCTACATGAACTACAGTCCTAATTATAACACGTAAAGTCTTCAACCTCAAAACTTTATGCAATAATAGGAAAAATCACAAATTTGATTAATTCCTTTCCAAAACCGATACATGCTTGATAAATATCCTTTACCTTATGGGACATTTGTATGCTTTTAGTTCATCGACCACTTAAATTGGGCTCTAATGGAGAAAGCGTGAGGAGGAAGGTTAGAGCACATGTGTCCCAGAGGGGAGTGGCAGAGAAACTGCACAAGATGGAGAGAGGTCTGTTTTGGGTGCCAGCCAGACAGTGAGAGTGGACTGCTGAGATGTGGGTCATCAGGATACCCGTTGGCATCAGGACACATTAACGATCACAGCAGTCACATGGCACTGCGGTCAATATGGCGAAAGTGGCCTGGTTCTACCCTCTAAGTAGTGCTGCACACACGGAAAACTGTTTTTCCTGACTGCTGCCCTCAATCAACCACAGCAAAGGTCATTGATTTATGCGTCTTTTTTTCTCTTTTTTCTTTTCATTGCAGTTATTGGGGGGCATAATGTAATCTTACTGAGCTCTTGGCCCAGACATTTTCACAACCTCTACTTTTTGACTCTCACACTTTGCCCCTTTCTGTCAGTCTCCTGCTTTCTGTATCATGCCTCCCTATGGTTCCGAGCAGCCCGCCGCTGCTCTCTTTGTATCTTCCATGTGTCACACTGACCTCTGAGAATGCATCAACTCAGCAATTTCACTAGTGCGACTTCTTTTACTGTAGTTAGCACTTTCTCGCTCCGGAGCCAGTGGGTGTGGGCGGGTTAGAGCACGGTGCCACAGAGGCAGAATCGAACCAAACACACACCCCCCCCCCCACACACACACACACACACAAACCCGCTCCAAAAAGATTGAGTCCAAGTCTAATCAATGCCCCTGCTAACAAGGCCAAGGCTGCAGTGGAAACAGGTGGGTTGACAGAGCAGCTTTTTGCGCATTGCACAGTTCTATAACTCCTCGTGAAGGTCACTGTTAGACTCTGCTGGCTTCGGGAAAGGGTTTGTGGTAAATAGGACTCATCCAGACAGACTTGTTCATCTAATTGGACTGTATGGAGAAGCGTGGCTGGAGAGATTAGGTCTACTGGATTATAAAATTGAAAAGCAGCTTTTCATTTCTACAAAATCCCCTCAGGATTAAATATGATGAACGTCTGTCACAGGCGCGCTCTCACCCCTCGACGCACTAAGGCATGCCGGATGAACGCATCCACACACGCAGGCTTTCCTGTGATCATGAGTGTGTTTGCCTCATAGAGTTGAAGGCACTGTCAACCAGAAACAAACAGACACAGTCTCAACCCCCACCCCACCCCGCCTTTACTCACTTTCCACGAGCACGCTGTAACCGACCCATAACCCCAGTCATGATGATACCCGCTCACCAATGTGTTTATTAAAGCTGCGCTGAGTTCAGGCCATGCAGCCAACCATATGCTCAAGGAGCGAGTGCATGAGGAGGTAAAGAGGTGGGGGTAAGTGGGAGGTGAGAAGGACAAGGTAACCAAAGCGGGGGATCACCGGTTGAGCCAGACTGAAAACTTATCTACTGACCCTGCAACAAAGAGCAAGGGGAGGGGACGTCGGTGGACATCAGAGAGGGAACACGAGCCTTAGAAAATGAAGCGAGAGCTATACGCGGTGGTAGGAGATGAAGAAAGACTCAGACATTGCAGGAAAAAAGGAGGCAGATGTAGGTTTTTGTTAGAGGCTCGGCGGTGGAGGTGGAACACATGGCTTATCCTGTAAACATTGATTTTCCACTCGACCAAGATCATATGGACACATAGCTCAGAGTTTGGAGGGGTTTGCTTTCTTCTGCACTTCTGTTCCTCTGGCTCAGAATAAATATAAAAAAAAAACTTTGTCTTTCTCATCAGTTTGAGGTTTGGGCTCGTTAAAAACCTCTTGGATTGGCTGTTTATTGGTTGTTTTGTTTGCTCAGGAGTGCCATATGGACCTGCAGCAGACGCATTAATTATTTATTTGGTTATCTGACCACAAGTCGTGCTACATTTTTAATTTGTAACCCTGCATATGCTGTAGTATCGAACACCGTATTGGACTACAGCATCAAAACCACCAGTCAAGCATAATTTAGGTCCTCCTTGAACCTACAAAACCTCTTCAAGCTGTAGAGTTTTTTAACCTTGAGCACAGAATATTACTGTGGTTTTCAGCACAGGGGTTCCCTGTAGGTTTAAGAGCAGACTTTATAAACCTTTATGGTTCCATTAGAATGCTGTGATGTTGATTAAATTATCATCTCTAATACTTTGAGCCAGGGTTAATACACTGGATTGTTTTTTTTTTCCCTCTCCTTTGGAGCTTCCTAAGCAGTTTTTGTGGTATGGTAAATTGTTATTGTGGGTGCTGCATCCATCAAGAGATGAACTTTTAGGTAGTTGGTGTTAAAGATGTTTATCAGAACCCAAGTTTACCCAGAAAAAACTAGACAAACATGAACTTAAAGCTACCTTTATCAAATGTTAACTGCTCTAGCTTAAAGTTAAGTTATTTTCAGTTGTATCAGAGATTATGCATCTTAACCTACTCTATGATTTTTGGGCGTGGTGCTGGTTATAATGTGTTTAGACGCCAGCTGCCTGCACAATCACTTGTTACTATTCATTGTAATTACGCATCTGAACAATCATTTGCACTACTACTCATTTATATTATTACTAATCTGAGCAATCACCT